TCAATTACGTAACTATTTAAACTCAAATTCATACTAATTATCACAATCGTCGTACTGACGCGAGGTTCAATTGTGGTAATGGTAAGAAATGTATACGACTTAATGGACCGAAACATTTCTTACCATTATAATATATTTCATAATACTTTTCAAGTTTTATTAATTTCTTAAAACTATGAGCTTTTTCTTCAAAACTATGAGCTTTTTCTTCTTCCACCACTGAAATATTTTTATTATCTTCTATTCGCTGACGGAATTTTCTTGGGAATTTCTTTTTTTTTTTTTGGAGCCATCTTATTTCCTTTTGAGAAAATTTTGAGAAATTTATACAGTGGAATGCGATAAAAACAGTTACAGTGAAAGTTGAGTGCTTTAGTAATAAAAAGCACATACCGTTATCCATCCAAACGGTACGAATCCACTCATCCGGAATGGTGGAAATATTTTTTGCCCGGTATCAGGATGACAGATTGCCGATTTAATTTTTTGCGCTTCCCATAGTTCTTTGTTGGATACAGCTCCTGCTTTTCCAGCTTCGTATTCTTTTAGCAACTGCTTGCTTCTTTGAAGTTTTTCCTAAATTGAAACTAAGGAAAATTTGAGTTTGATCGCTTTAAGGAAAATAAATAGGGCTCACGTACGGGCACGTGAAAACTATGGCGGGAAAATTCATAACTCGCGAATGAAATAAATGGTGCGTACCAGACTAGCCGGTGCGATCATGCGTTTTGTGCAATTCAGCCCATCGAACGATTGCCTATTTATGATTTTCACTGCTTTGTACTTTGTCTATCCAAAAATAGTTCAAACATTGGAAAACAGTTAAAATTTCACGCACCAGCGCATGAAAGCTTAATTCGAATCCTTGGAGGGTAAATATCTTTATTCCGAGTTAGTAGTTTACCTGCCAAAATTTCCACGAGGCCAGGTGATACTCAAGAGCACGGGAACGCTGAATTTGAATAGGCAAGGTTGAGCGTGAGCAGGGGGTCATTACCCTAAAATTTCAGCCTCTTAAACTCCGTGGTTCCCGAGATATTAATTTACCCGTAAAAAACTTTCACGGGGCCGTACGCGTTACCCGTGGATACGGCGAAGCTGAATTTAAATTTGCGGGGTCACAATTGTGTCGGTCACAATTGTAGCTTCCTAGCTTTTGTGGTTCCCGAGTTGAAAGTTGCGGACAAGCTGCTGCGAACACACAAACACACACACACTCAGACAACCCCGTGACAATATGCGTATTGTGCTGCTGTTACACAGCACAAAACGCATAAAAATTCGAAGTTTTTTTTTAAAAATTCAAAACTTGCTTTTTCTTTTATAAAACAGTATAATTATTTTAAATAGTTACTATAGATTCCAGTGATTTAACAAGAGCCTTGTGGTACCATGCGTTACTTTTTTTCTCCTATTTATGTGGTTGATTCCTAAGTTCTTCCTCTTCGTCCAAGGACGATACAAAGCGAGTAAAGCTCTGCTAAGTGCTTCTATCGAAAAAACTGCTGAAGTAGTAATTTCTTAAGGGACCAACAAAATCGCCATAACATTGGCCAGGAGGCAATTTCCAGCTAATTTAAGAAGTTAGCTATGAACTTCAGTTGACCAGCAAGTCAAAATTCATTGAAACTGTGCTACTAAGCGAAAAAATTTCATCGCCGTTTAAAGGTATATTTAAAGGTTGAAAAAAAACCCCCACTAGGCTCAACAAAAATATTTCTATTCTTGAAATCTTATACATTCCTGTTCAGCGCCACAACTGGACTTCGTCAGTATCAAAAATTCGCAGTGTCAAACCAGTTTCGATAAGATATTTGTCAAATGATTTTTGAGTAAAAGAATAGATCAAAAATACCTCGCTGGTAAATAACGTTCTCGGATCAACAACATCCAGAAAGTGTAAATAACGTCCAAGAAAGGTGTCTTGCGGGAAACGAGGTGCATTCAACCGGAACTTTGGATATCTCTCGAAACCAAATATTTTCTCGTCGGACATTGGGCCTGAAAAAGATTAAAAAAACTCAAACAATTGAGGAAAGGGAAGCAATGGCGAGAGTATGGGGCTTTGTCGCTCCGAATTCAAAATTTTCCAAAAATTTGTGGATTGTTGATAATACAAAGACATTGGCGGATCCAGTGAGGGCCCAGGTAGTAGTTGTTTTGTTCCACCAGTGAGAGCGGAGGAAGAGGGAGAGAAGCGGGGGGGGGGCGAAGGAGAGGGGATAGTGCGACATCGAGGACCGGGTTGCGAGCTGGTCGAGGTAGAGGGAGGGTGTAGTGCCGAACGGAGATGGGAGGAAAAGAATCGCTGCCCCTTCCCCCACCCCTTCCGCTTCCCCCAGAAGACCACCCTGGATTCGCCTACATACAAAGAAGACGGGAGGAACAAAGCGGATCATCGGAACAGAGAACCAGGGGCAGAGCGAACAGCGAACAGTATATGCCGATGCTGAACGAACAGAGCGACTGCTCCTCTGTGTAACAGTGATGTTAAAAGGTCATAGTACGCCCGTGTCGTTTTTATTGGATAGTATGTGGCGGGTTTCGTTGGAGGCAGGGGAAGAGGGCTTGGATAGGTGAATATAAGGACTAACTGGCGTAGGTCCCTTGCCGATTGACTAAGTAACGTATATTCGAAAGGAGAGGGGAGCGGTGAAGAACGGAAAGAATGAGGCAAAAAAAGTACCTGGGATACCGATACTAAGACTATCTACAAGAGGATCCAGAAAGAGGCGCCTCTCTGAGGCGGAGGCGATGGGAGGGTAGGGAGGAGAGTCCCCTTCCCCTAACCTGGAACTGTGCAAAAACGTAGGCTGAAACGCACCAGGCGAGCCGGTGCGATCATGCGTTTTTGCACAAAACTTGAATTGGGTTAATTGCACGGACGGTTGTTTCTTCACACCAACCTTGTGTGCTTTGTGCAGGAAATCATGGAAATTTTGCATAAAAAGAAATAAACTATTCCCGTGTAGCGGTGTTTTTTGA